GAATGCCGAAAAATTATTGGGCATTTATTTACATATCACATAATTCTTACTTATTTATAAATCTATTAGGTAAGCTTTAATAAAATTAACATTAAATTAGTAATACCATTATCTTCACTTTTTAATATGGAAATTCACATTTTACATCAAAATCTATAAAAGCAATGTTACAAGTATATCAAAATTTATGGGTTTGTTATGTAAATATAAAAGACTTATGTGATATTTATGTAAATTTTCAAAAAATGAGGTGATATTCTATAAAATTCAACCACAATAAAGTCAAAAATAAAATGCTGTCAGCTACCACGCCCAAATTTAATAAACCCAAAAAAAAAATTGTGGACAGGTAGAAGAGAAAAGTGCGGGATTACGACCTTCTAGACCACGGATTGAACTAAAATCTCGGCCGCCCACGGGTTGGCGGAATAACCAAAACGACCAAATCCAATGGACCACAGCAACTTTGTTCCGTCGAGGTTCGGAGTCATCGCTCGCCATCCTCTATTTAAATCAGAGAAACCAACGCTATTTTTCGCACCACAATTGCTCAAATTCTTCCCGTTCTACGCACATTCTTCCTCTTTCTAGACAACGAAGATGTCTTGTTACCGTGGAAAGTATGCCGGTAAGCATTTCGTCTCTTTTTGTTCTTCTTTCTTCTGTAATTTTAGATGATAGATCTGTCTATGCTTTGAATCTGCGCGCATCGAGAGGGTTAGAAAGAGTTTTTTTTTTTCTTTTTTTTTTAATAAATTCTCTTTATTCTGGAGTTCAGTTCCTGGTTCTAATTTTTTATTAATGTTTCGATGAGTAGATCGTGTTTTTTTTTCTCTTTTTTTTAAGATTAATCTTCTCGATTAGATCATTGCCTTCTCCATATATTTCTGTAAGTTTTTCTGCCGATCCGATCCGGTGCTTTCTGTTAGTTGGGTAGATTATCTTCTCATGATCCAGATCATGAATTATGTTATTGGATCAGTTTTCCGGCCACGGAAAATCTTTGTGTTTTTTATGATAAAGTCTTCAATCTACATATCTGATTGATCATTTTTTCTTTTTCTCTTACAGATGAACTGATCAAGAACGCCGCCTATATTGGAACCCCAGGCAAAGGCATCCTCGCCGCCGACGAGTCGACTGGCACCATCGGCAAACGTCTTTCCAGCATTAACGTAGAAAACGTCGAGGAAAACCGCCGCGCACTCCGGGAGCTTCTCTTCTGCGCTCCAGGAGCCCTCCAATACCTAAGCGGCGTCATCCTCTTCGAAGAAACCCTTTACCAAAAAACCGCCGATGGGAAGCCTTTTGTCGACGTCCTTACGGAAGGCGGCGTTCTCCCCGGCATCAAGGTCGACAAAGGCACCATCGAGCTAGCCGGCACCAACGGCGAGACGACTACTCAGGGCCATGACGATCTTGGCAAGCGCTGCGCCAAGTACTATGAAGCAGGCGCCCGCTTCGCCAAATGGCGAGCTGTTCTCAATATCGGACCCAATGAGCCTTCCCAACTCGCCATCGACGCTAACGCCAATGGCCTCGCACGCTACGCCATCATCTGCCAGGAGAACGGTCTTGTACCCATAGTTGAGCCAGAGATCCTCGTAGATGGCTCTCACGACGTGAACCGCTGCGCTGAGGTCACAGAGAGGGTCCTCGCTGCGTGTTACAAGGCACTCAATGACCATAAGGTTCTCCTCGAGGGGACGCTGCTCAAGCCCAACATGGTGACTCCTGGCTCCGATGCAGCTAAGGTCTCACCCGAGGTGGTGGCGGAACACACTGTGAGGACACTTCAGAGGACGGTGCCAGCGGCTGTACCTGCGATCGTGTTTCTCTCCGGTGGGCAAAGCGAGGAGGAGGCGACTCTTAATCTGAATGCGATGAATCAACTGAGTGGAAAGAAGCCGTGGTCTCTGTCTTTCTCATTTGGACGCGCGCTGCAGCAGAGCACGCTCAAGGCATGGGCTGGAAAGGAGGAGAATTTGGAGAAGGCGAGGGCGTCGTTCCTGGTTCGATGCAAGGCGAACTCGGAAGCTACATTGGGGATTTACAAGGGTGGTGCTAGCCTTGGGGAGGGGGCATCGGAGAGTCTTCATGTGAAGGGCTACAAATATTGAGTTGCTGCCTTTCCTGCTTAACCTCCACTGTTGTTTGTTTTCGTTGTTGATGGTGATTTCGTCTGTGGTCATTGTTGAATTCAAATTTTGCTACCTATTTCAAGGTTATGACTCTTATGTTAACGGCAACTCTTTCTTTTGAGTATTCTTATTTCATGTTTTGTTTTACTCCTTGCTGATCTCGTGAATGTAGTTGCTTTCATGTTTGTTTGCTTTCCTGTTTGTTTCATCGTCAAGTAGAAATGCTTTCAATTTGAAGGAATTATTGTATGCTAAGAATGAAAATACCAAAGACTTTGATTGGTGCCAACAAAAAAAATTTCATATTCTACCGTGGAGCTGGCTTATGGGTAGTGGTTATATGTGCTAAAAGGTAATGAAAACTTAGTGGTTTTTACACTTTTTTACATTGTTTGGAGATCTTTTACTTGTTTGATTTCTCTTGCAATGAGTTGGATTGTGCCTTCTCAATGGTGGGCCATTTTTATTGAATAATTTGATTGGGGACTTCAAGCTCATCAAAGAACTGCAAATATACTCTTTGGATTAAACTACCTATTTTTGCTATTGTTTTAGGAATGCCTGTGATTTATCGAAGGTAGAGTATCGTTGAAATTCCTTTTGTTGTTGATAGTCTCACTGTATTTAAATCCCAGATGACCATTGCCAGCGCTTGCAGATAAGTCACTCCTTGCTCCACATTATTAGACTTGGTTCCCATTAACCTCAATGGCATTAAGTATGTGTAGAAAAATTGGTGTGATTGGAAGCCCAAATCTTTCATATATATATAGATATATAGATATTTCTTGGAGGAAGGAACAGATGCAGAGCTTGTCCAAGGAAGCAACTTAACTGTGATAAAAACTCAATAGAAACATCTTCCCACCCCCTCCTCGATCACCTCAATTCCCACACCCTCCTCGATCATATACCTAAACCCCTCTGACCGTTTTATCTTTCAATCAACTTTTTCCAGCTCCTCTCACACCTATATTAATGACCTTAACCAACTACTGTTGCCCCTTCTTAACTCTATGTTAATTCCCCACCTATTTCAAACATATTTATTAGGGGGCTCCACTACTGACACTATTAAAGTCCCCTCGTTCCTTTCAAGGCCGGTAATTCCTCTCAAGTTTGAGAAAGGCAAACATTACATTAAACATACCTAACCTTCCCACAAAACTCTTAGTGAATTTGCTTCTCTATGCTCCTTTCAATACTGCATCATGGGATTTAAGAGGTCTCCAAGCAGTGGAACATATTTGAGATTGCAAAATTCTTGTTTGAGATTTGCATTTTTACCTTTCTTGTCGTATTGTAACCAATATTTATCAAAGTCTTCAGTTGGGTCATCTCATGCAATGAACTATGATTGCATTTTCAAATGAAGATAGTTGTAATAAATTTGTATCCAATTCTAGAGGGAGAATTTGTGTCAGATGGAATCAAAATATGAACAAATTCAATCTTACTATGCTTGCATATTAGCTTATTCTTGGAGGCGCTTTTCACTCCAAGAAAAAATCTTATTTTTCATCCATGCAATATTTTGAAGGAATGACATTTAGGCTTTTCTACATCATTTATTATCATTTTATCACTTTTAGTTGGTTGGCCCTGGGTGACTTTAATTATGTCCTCTCTTATCAAGATAAAATTAGTGAGAATCATATACCCTACTACAAATTGGAAGTCTTGATTGCATTGAGATTGATATTATGGAGCTTCCTAGAGCTACTCTTACTCATTGGTCCACTCTCTAAATTGACAATGCCATTTGGACGAAAAATGGTAAGATCTCTTGTAGCTTATTTTGGCTTAACATTTGCCCATTATCATATTACAAAATGATGTGTCTCATGTATAATGTTCCTAAGATTACGAAATGCTTGTTCTTTTTATCATTAACTATTATTCTTAAAATAATAGATATCTTTCCAAAACTATATTGTTATGATCTTTTTTTTACTTTGCGTTGTTTTCTTAATGGAGACCCCCATTTTCGTTACCCTTAAGAAGCTTAAAGAAGTTTAGAAAATCTTTAGGGGCATCAAATGGGATAATGGCTTCCCACTCATCAATTCAATCACCACCTTTAATAAAGATCAAAGGGATGCCCTCTATAAATTGAAGAAAATACCCAATAACTTTTTACTCGTAAATAACGCCAAACTTTTGTATGAAAAATATACTGTTGTCATTGCTCTTGAAAACTAATAAATGAAGTAGCTTGTTAAAACTTTCTAATTTGTGAAAGGATATGAAGTACTCAGGTTCTTCTATAACTTAATCAAGGAAAGAAGGAAACCTACTCAAATAGATTACTATGTTTTAGGGGATGATTTATGAAAAACTTACAATTTCAAATGAAATAATCCAGAGCTACAATAATTGCTTCAATGGCCCTCATAATATTCTTGATTCTATTAATGATATTTCAATTGGATTTACTCCAACTTTTTATTGGATGTTTATGTTTTTCAAACTTTTAGTAAGGAAATAACTTATGTCTTTCACAGCCTAACTCATAATAAAATCTTAAGCCCTAACTAGTTCACAACCAAGTTTCTTACTAATTCATGGGATATAAGTGAATCTCAACATCTTCATTCCATTCATTACTTCTTCGTTTACTCCAAGTTTCTTAGGTTGGCCAAGTTTAACCTTAGCACTCTTATTGCCAAGATGAAATGTCCTTGCTTGGTGGTTGTCGGTCAGCCCATCTCAACGTGTAATACCTTCAATAAAATGATTGCCAAAATTTTCTTAAACATGCTCGAGGATGTCCATTACTTGTTTATCCACCTACCACAAAATGCTTTCATCAAAGGAATGGGTATTATTGAAATTAATGTTCGAGCTTATGAGTTCACCTATATCTTAAAGGAACAATGGTAGGTCTTTTTATGCTCAATTTGATATTCAATAGACTTTTAATAGCATAAACACATCCTCCTTGTCTGCAACAAAAAATTCTTTCCTCAAATGTTCATTAAGTGAATCTCTACATGCATTATGAACAATCCCTTCTCTATTGTTATTAATGAGAAAATTTTTGGGTAATGCTTATAATGGCTTATGATAAGGATCTCTCTTATCCCTTATCCATTACCCTCTATCCTTCTCTCCAAATGAATAGTCATTTGCTCTACTCTTGAATGCTAAGAAAAAATATACTTTATTGGGAAATACGAACCTATATCTCACATACATCTCTCATTTTTGTTTGTCATTGACTTTTAGTTTTGGGAAATACTTAGCCATCTATTATTTAGGTGGTTAAGCAAGACATCAGCTCTTACTCACTATATAGAAATGGAAGTTAATTCTTCTAATTAAGGATATGCTTCCTTGATTGATTATTAATCAAGATATAAATTATTTATGACATCGGCATCAAAAAGGTATACTTTCCATCAAATATCTTAGACTACCTCTCTCTGTTGACTGGTTGCAACCCAAAAATTGCACCACATGAAAAGATAAATAATTCACTTGCTTTCTAGAAGAATGGAATTGTCTCCCTTATGAAGATACTCTAAAATTTAAAACATTCTATTAATGCTCTTTTGTTTTATTGATTGAGAGCTATCTCTATTCCAAAATGCTCACATTGGTAACTATTAGATTCATTAACGGTGGTGGTCCTTCCCACAAGATTCATTTTACTTCATGGTTGTGAATTGCATTGCCGAAGTAAAGAAATGGGCATTGATTACACATATTCACCACTATAAGCAGAGTTTATAAGATGAAAATGGCATTGAACTTATTGTTGCTTTCAATTTATGCTCAAGTAGTGTATTAAATTGTATGGTTCTATATTGGGATGGTATAATGAGTGAGCATCCTTGAGTCTTCTGAAATTAAATCCAAAAATAAACTTAAATGATTAAAGGGTAATTAAGGAATGCAATTAGTGATATGAAACTTTTCTCTTTGTACTATAAGCCATAGCTAGCAACTTCATCACTTTTTGAGATCCAAAGTCCCAAGGCCTAAGTGCTTTATATATTCAATGCAAGCAAAAACTCTTTTGTTAAACACAATTATTAAAGTTGGAATTTGGAAAGACCCTTTAGCTCTTTCTACAATCAATGCAGATTTTTATAACAACATTTAGAATCTCTCATTAATAATTGGATGTGATATCATTATGTGGGCTAATAAAAAAGAATATTTGATTGATTGTTCAAATTTTATTTACGATGTGTTTTCTATAAAGAAAAATGAGTGAACTATGTGCCAAATATAGGTTTTTGAATAACTCGAATGTTTGGTAAAGGAAAATTAAATTTGTGCTAAGGAAAATGAAATGTGGTTATTAGATTATTTTTAGTGCTATATAAATATGTTGCAAACATGGTTGAGGATTTTGTTAAAGGCCACTGTTTTTGTTCATTTTTCTCTCTTTTATTTTAATAAGAAGTCATCAATTTGTCGATCGTCGTATACTTCCCTTATTTTAATAAATCTCCCCCCTGCCCGAATCAGATCAGTGATTTGAAGAGGAGAGGAACCGAACAAGAAGGGACATACGACAACATGACAAATAAGAGAAACACAAAACGTGGAGAGCCTACAAGCGGTAAACCTCGCAAGAATTGGTTAAGAGTGCCCACCCAAATAGGATTAGGCGAAAGCATCTTAAACTGATATTCGCGAAAGAATACCTACGTAAACTACCCAAAACCAGAGAGTCGGGTGTAGGTGTCTGTTCTGGGGTCAAAAGCACTCCCAAGGGGACGTATCCCACTTTGTTAATTACATCTTGGGAGGGTACCCAAGAATACTCTTGATAAAAATTGTTTCTCTTTGATTATCTTGAATTGGGGAAATAGGTACTGAAAGGCAGGTTATTCCGTGTGGGAACAGTCCTGATGCTTCAAAGCTCATGCTAAGCAATCAGGCAGAGAGTGAGTCTCTCACATCCCAAATGGGTAACGACTCATCGACATACGGGGGCGACGGAGTAACCTAAATCAACTTGACGGGGATATCCCAACACGTCAAAGCGCGTCCGGGTCATAAGGGCAGCGGACACATCTTCGTATCCCAAATGGGCAACAGCTCATCGGCATTGGGCCGTCAAAATGATATCAACTAAGTCAAGGAGTGACAGGGCTCAAAGGGGCTCAACAAAAGAGAGGGAGAGTGATCCT